TGGGCTACCACTTTTCCCACAAGGGGACGGAGATGGACCCTGAGAAAGTGCGGGCTGTCATGGAATGAACTCCTCCCCGCACCGGGAAGCAGCTACAGAGTTTTCTGGTGTTTGCCAACTTTTATAGGCAATTCATCCCTTCCTTTGCCCAAATTGTGCTCCCTATCATGAATTTACTGAAAACTAAAGGAGGGGGTAAACAGAAGCCTAGCCAGTCATTAAAATGGACAGCTGAATGTCAAGCTGCATTCAAGAAACTTAAAAGACTTTTTCTGTGAAACCAGTGCTAAAACACCTGGACCTGGAAAAGCCATTTGTGATTCAGGCAGATGCTAGCAATATGGCAATTGGGGTGGTGTTACTGCAGAACAACCAACTGGGTCAGTTACAACCCTGTGCCTACACGTCTAAAAAATTAACTGAGACTGAACAATGATGGGCAGCTTGGGAGAAGGAAGCCTACGCCGTGACGTGGACGCTCTTGACCTGCAGGCATTTCTTAGAAGGGAGTGAAATCCCTTTCCAGGTCTGATCATAAGAATCTTGAAGCTTTGAAAACCCCTAGGAGGCTTTGTCTGAAACAGGCTCATTGGGCCCAGCACTTCCATTGTTTTAACTTTTCCATCCGCTATCTGCCAAAAGGAAAAAACTTCCTGGCAGATGCTTTGTCAAGAATGACCCAATATAACAGTGTGAAAACAGAGGTAATTAAACCTCTAGTTTCCCCACAACAACTGGCAGCTCTGGCCACCACGAGGGCGCAATCTAAGAAAACCCCACCATTGGACAATGTGGTGGTTGGGGAGTTCAAGAAAGCACTGGAAAAGGATGAGTGGTTCTGCAGCCATAAAAATCTCTGTTCAATACAAGATGGTTTGGCTTGGGTTGGAGGGAAGCTGTATGTGCCTACAGATCAGAGACTGAGAATCATGCATGTCACGACTCTAAAATTGCAGGACACCTTGGGTTTGTAAAGATTCTGCACCTGCTTAAGAGACAATTTTGGTGGTCATCTTTAAAGGACATTGAAAACTATGTGGCCAGCTGCCCTATCTGTGCTAAACGAAGGCAGGGAAAAATGTTTGGCCTCTTGCAGCTGGTGGCTAGCCCTTTAGCACCCTGGAGAGAGATCTCCATGGATTTCATTGTGGAGCTACCCGAAAATGCGGAAAATACTGTCATTTGGGTTGTCACTGACTTGTTCTCCAAATAAGCCAATTTTATCCTATGTCAGAAGGTCTCAATTGCAAAAACTTTGGCTAAGTTATTTGTACAGCATGTGTATCGTCTCCACGGTGCCCCAAGACACATAATATCGGATAAGGGTCTTCAATTCACATCTAAGTTCTGGAAAGCTTTTCTGAACCTGTCAGGTTCTGATCAGGGACTATCATCCTCAAACGAATGGGGGGACAGAACAAATGAACTCAGTTCTAGAACAATACCTCCGTTGTTTTATTAATTATCAACAGGACAATTCGACTGATTTGTTGCCATTTGCTGAAGTAGCTTATAACAATGCAGTGCATTCCAGTACGAGGTTCACTCCTTTTCAAGTGGCTAATGGCCAGAGTTCCATTCCTATGCCTTAATTGCCTGCCAAGGAGCCTGCTATTCCTTTTCTTAAGGACTGGGTTCATCAACTGCAGAACATATGGCCTCTGGTTAGAAAAGCTTTAGATGAAGCCAGAGAGGCTTATAAGGCACAGACTGACAAAAAAGAATAGAGCCTAAACCTTTTCATGTGGGGGACAGAGTTTACCTTTCCAGTAGATGGTCACTAGAACCATCGAAGAAATTGGGACTGAAATACATCGGCCCTTTTCCCATTAAACACCTCATTAATCCTGTCACAGTGGAGTTGGAAGCCCCTAAGAGTTTGAGACAAATCCACCCAGTTTTCCAGTGCAGTTTGTTGAAACCTGAAATCACCACTAAACTACAGCTGGCTGCTGCTCCTGTCCCTCAACCCATTATGGTACAGGGTGAGCAACACTTTGAAATTAAAGACATTTTAGATTCATGCAAACATCATGGGTCCACACAGTACTTAGTGGCCTGGAAGGGCTTGCCCACTTCACAAAATGAATGGATTTATAAAAAACATATTAATGCTCCTAGGTTGCTCAAATGCTTTCATAAACGTTATGCAGATAAACCTGATTAATGTTGGTGTTTTCTCCTTTCCCCTCCTATTTTGTCTTTCTATGGGGGGGCATATGTCAGGGCCCCTCAATTATATTTGCCTTCAATTCCCTTATTTCTTCCTTTCCTGCTTTTGCCTATGTATTCATTTTCGGGGCTTGCCACTCTGTTGGGGGAGGGGTGCTTGCATGGGGGAAATAGCTGCTTTGCATGGTTCTGTGTAAAGTGCCCTCCCTTGGGGTGTGAGAAATGCGACCTGAAAACATCTATCTTATCTCCAGACAACAGAGCCTGAAACTGTTGGGAAACGAAACTGAGAGAGTCCTTGAAAGAAGCGCTAAATCCCCTGGTTCTCATAACAGCCTGGCACCTGTGGATTGGCTGAATTTCAACTGGATGGTTGGACATTGGGAGGGAGGAGGTTTGAATTGCCATTTTGACATATTCTTTCACACACTAAATCTGCAGACCTTGCTTTACTCTCTTGTCATCACTAACTCAATAAAAAGTTCCTTTTGAAATGATGCTTGTTTCAAGAGTTCTACTCTCTTGGGAAGTCTAGTTGAGGCAGATCCTTACAGATCCATTTCACATACTGTCAATTCTTCAAGAGTCATTCTTGGTATTTATTTATATTATTTTAAATTCATACATACAATTTATGGGCTGCCTGATTCCCAACCACTCTGGATGACTTATAGTTAAAAAGACGAAAAGGGATAAAGATCAAAAGAGATTATGAGTATCCCTAAGACAACATATGACAAGAAAAATTTCATTCATTAGGGTCTCAACTTTCACAAATGAAGGGCTGTAGACTCTATGTCTTCATACCATATAAACTATAGAAACTGGTCATAAAGAAAGGATGAAAACCACTGCAAAATGGTGCCTCCACATCAAAATCTTATAGCTAGTCCTGAAGATTACTGGGATTAATGGCACTGGAAGTGTCTTAGAGAACAAGGAACACAAGGAGGGATGTACCCATCCCAATTCTGACATGAGACCAACAACAGGTTATTTTCTAGATAGCCTTGACCAATCATGTTGAACAAGGATATAACAAACAGATGTCTTAAAGATTCAAGATGTTTTTGTTTGATTTAGAGAGTTCTTGAGAAAGAGCATAATTCTGAGTTTATTAGGCTTAGCCTAGACCAGGGTGTCAAACTGCTGGCCCATGGTTTCATTATACCGAAGCCGCGCCCACCCTATTGCTGGCAATGCAAAGAGTTGCGATACGTCGTGACACGTCATGTGACGTGGTGTTTGACACCTGTGGCCTAGACTATTAAGCTTACAGTCTTGCTTGAATAACCTTGCTACTTTTTCTTGCTACCCTTGTCTAAATATGCAGAAGATTTGATAGCAATTGTTGCTACTTGTACATCCCAAATATTAGTGATCATCAGTGAAGTGAAATCTTGTTTTTAGTATCATCGTCCTTTCTTTCTTCCCCTCACATTTTCTCATTGTGAATATATGTTTCAACACTCCTTACCAGTGCCTTAAAATTCTCAGATGCAAGCAACCAGCTCCACTTGTAAATAGCCTCAGGCTGTAACTTTATTGTTTATCATCTATGCCCCAAGAATCTCACCAGACTGCTTCCCTTACCCTGGGAACAACTAGATAAGGCTTCATGGATTTTGGAGGGGGTCATGCTTATGCCGCTTGCAGCTGCAAATGATTCCAAACTAGGCCCTCACTTGACCCTCCTTCCAGCCTAGTTGGCAATTCCCCAACATCAACTCTTCTGAATTATCCACCTTAGATCTCTTTGTTTTTATCATACCTATCATAAATAAAAGGAAATAATCTATCTATTAATAATATGAACTATTAATTATTATTAATATGAATTAATAATTATTTGGCCCATATCTCAAATGAAACTAACATGTACCCTCACATGAGTATTATAGTCCAAGGTATTAATTGTATAGATGTAATATTTGGCAATTAGAAGTAATCATTTCACTTGGAAAATTAGACATTTCTCACTAGCATCATGAACAGAATTCAAATGCTTAATAAATCACATGAATAGTTATAATAATTATGAATTAATTTCATACTTGCCCATAAATCTTTTGGATTCCTATATATGCCAGTGTATCAAAAAAAAAGGCTATGGCTGAGTGATAGAAAAAAGTATATGTGAAGAAAGTTCAACTCCCACAAATTCCAAACAGGATTACCAAAGACTCCTTTCCTCTGGAGAGACTGCCAGTTCTGTAATGTTGTCTGATCATGCATGGCAAAACTGAAATACTTACTGCCCTCTCAAAATTGCTGTTTCCTTTGTCCAGAACTTACTTAAAGATGGCAGACAGCTTGAAAATAGGCCCACTTAAAAAAAAAAAACTCTTAAGACTAATGTTTAGCAGCATACAAAATTTTAGAAACATTCCAAGATGGAAGTTTTTGAGATTCTTGAGTGCAAAAGATAAACATTCAATGTAAAATCTAGAAATTATAAGAAAGCCAGATATGAAAGAAAGTAAAGATTTGGACTGCACCTGTTGATAAATGCTGTTCTAGATAGATTTTACAAATTTTTCCTTTGTTTGAAAATATTTAAGCTTTAATCCATTAATGAGATTGTAAAGAAGGTAAATCAAAATTGAGCTACGTTTAAATTAAACAGCTGTTTCAAACTAATCTGACTGCTAATTTTGGATTAATTATTAACCATCTTTTATCCTAAAGAAATCAAAGACTATGTTTGGGCTGTTAGGTCAGATGGAGAAGAGTATGTCTAAAAATACTCAGAATGTATTATGTTCCATATAAGAAAGAGATGCCAATGCATGCATCAGAATAAGTTCTTGTAGCATGTCAACACTCACTCTGTGTTGATATTAGCAAATTGGGTGTTTGAAATGATTTTATTGTAGCTGGTCCCTCACTACTTGTGGTTAACACTTGAACCTCTAAACGGTAAAGAGTTGATGGTCTTAGGTTGGATACTGTCAACATATGGTGATCCTAAAAGGAAATGAAAACAGTGACTTGAAATAAAAGAAGAAATATATTTGAGGCATTCAGCAGGTTCTTCCCTCCTATCTATCCCCCTCCCCCCACTGAAAAGGTACAGACTTACTACTGACAATATTTGTGATTGGGAGATAATGCTGTTTGGTAAGCTGTTTTGCCTGCTTTCTGTGGTGACTTCTGCCAAAGTGACTTGAAACCCTGTCATTGGTTGGTGAAGATTTGCTTTGGATATTTTCCAGGAAAAGTAGCCTGTAATATTAATGTCCTGAACAATGAAAGAAGCAGAAAGATTCTCTGGTTTTGCCAATACTTTTGAGATAACAGGATCTGTAAAACAAACACCAACACCAAGAGAGAAGTTAGCATCTCTGTCAATGTTAAGTAAATTTTAAAAAGATATACATTAAGGGAGCCTACAACGTGTCATATAAACTTTGCTATTATATGGTGAGGATGGAATGCTTACTCTCAAATAAATTGCTCACCACTATATCACTTATTTTACCTACCATGAATATAGTTTTGTTTCATACATTGCACTTCAATTAGTAAACATTACCACAAATTCTAATTTCATTATTTGATATTGTTCTGTAAGTGATGTACACCCATTTACTAATTCTATGAATTAGATTACATATTATTATGTAAATCAACTTTATCTCTGTTTTATATATGGCTAAAATGTTTTTTAAAAAACATAACTATTACTATTTATTGAATTGGGTATAACAGAAACTGTATAATTTATTTATATAAAATTTAAACAGGAAGCATATTCTTCTTTCATAATTTTAAAAATATCAGGCCTTTATATAAATATGAGCCAATTAATATTTGAAGATACTAAATTCATTGTCTGGATATTAGGATATCAAACTCCAAGATATCAGGATATCAAATATCAAAATTATAACATATGATCCACTTAAAGCTAATTAAATATGTTTGATACATTTGAGGCCAATACAGCTATTAATCTTGTTCTGGAATAAGTATGCATATATTTTATAGTGTGTAAAATATAAACTATTTTAGCTATAAAATATAAAATATATACATGCTTATTCCAGAACAAGGTTGCTAGCTGCACAGAAATAAAATCCCCTATTAATGAACAATCCCACATTCTATTCTCTAAAGGACAAATGCTTTTGGCAATTTTTTCTTGCTGTTTAACCAAGACAAAACTGTTCTAAAACCATTGCTCAGCATTTCTTAAGTATTATTTCTTTTTGCTTTAGTCTCAAAATTGAGTCATGTGACTCCCTCAAAAATCTAAGATGTTAGAGAATATTTGACAGCATTTTAGTATTTTTTATTGTAAACATTTTAACAAACGTTAAGATAATTTGTGGTACCAGAACTGAAACTATTACTTACAATACTATATTTTGTCAGTGTGTAAGAAATTTTATGAACTGGAACAGCCATAGCAACAAACCAGCCAAAGAAAGCTGTTTTTGATTAAGACATAGTATTGGCTGTGTGAGGCATGTGATCCAGCCTAGGTCTGGGTGTGTCTTAATCTTCTCTGTTGTTTTTCTGATCTCTAAGTTAAGAGTTGTTGATGTTCCCCAGAGCTGAATGAAACTGTATGTATCATGTTTATATATATATTATAGATAAAGTTTTTCTAAACTATGCCTCCTGCTCATTTTGAATGTGTGCTTATTTTTTGGGCTTATTTTTGTGCTGGAAAGCTGTAAAGTAACATTTTTTCTATCTAAAGAAATTTCCTGAAGAGATGTGATCTATCAAACAAAATATAGAATGTTTGGAGATAGCTAGACTGGCTATGAAAGGCATCACATCCAGTGGGGGGATTCAGCCAGTTTGCACCGGTTCAATAGAACCGGTAGCTAAATTTTGCTGCATTTGTAGAACCGGCTGGCTTCCAGAAGTCCAGTCTAGGCTTCAGAGGCCTGGAGGAGGCCTCCCAGGCCTAGAACGGCCCCCGGAAGTGCGTGATGCCACTTCCGGAAGTCAGTTCTAGGCCTCAGAAGCCTAGGCCTGCATTGAATAAGAGAACTGGTTGTTCAGGTATTTGAATTCCACCACTGATCACATCTTATCAGTTTTTTTAAAAAAGCATACAAATGTGTAATGTTTTGATGTATCTAATGCCTATACTGTATTCTTCTGTTACATATAAACTTGTAAAATGATTTTATTTAATGTAACGTAAAAAGGAGGTAGTAATGAAGATCATATTTAGAACTTCTAACTTAGTGACTTTCAGATTACAAAGAAAATTAAACTTGTGGTTGTTTCTTTTGTATTTTCTATTCATATTAATTAATCTGCATTTACAATACTAATACTTGTAAATGGTTACATTAAGAATTTTAAAGCTCTTAATATAATGATGAAAGCAATCCATTTTAAAAGCTGGTGTTTGAGTATTTAGCTATTTAAGCATTTTATTTCACTATAATTGTTTGGATCTTACCTCCTTTAGCCACACAGCTTACATGCTTGTGTTTTTTCCCTTTTAGATAAGAACAAGGTGGAGTCATAAAGAAAATGCTTTCAGATTTCAATTGACCAATGGATCTTACTGGCTGAACTGTAACATTATACTTGCATGAAAAGGACAGGTTCTGAAGAATTATATAGTTTTCCTATGAGAGATATAAACCATTTTATTATCCTCTTTTGGGGTTTAAATTTAATATTTTCCAAGCAATCAATGCAAAAATACATTTTTAGAGAAAAAGACAGCTTACAAAATATGCAAATGTGTTCATATATCATTTATTTATTATAGGAAGATGAAATAGGTGATGAAATAGGTAGAGCTGAAGGCAACACATTCAGCCCAAACCTCTGGATAACTTCATATAGAGGAAAGTTCATAATATGGCACAAGTTGAAAAGGAAAAAAAATGTGCCACATATTTTAATGGAACTGCAAATTGTAGTGTTCTTCAATATGAATTCCACTACTACATGGGTGGACAGTAAATTCTTTATCCAAAAGCTTGCACAAACAAGTGTTTTATTTGGTGAAAAGGAATAAAAAAATAAACTATATTGGATAATTTAATCCAATAAAGTGCAAGAAAACAATAATTGATTTTTTAAAAGCATACTTCAGAATTAAACACAAAATTCTATTTCATGGAGAATTATACTGTATGTAACATTGCACAACTCAGGAAAAGTTTCTGATTACCATTAATAAAGATTTTCTAACTGGCTTAAATGGATTTAAATAAATTGTAAAAGTTGACAGAAGAAAATATACAAAAATCTGCATCAGTTTTATGGAAAGAATGTAACTTGTTCTACCTAATCCTACAAAATCAGTTTGTACCACAAACAAAAGATGGAACAATTCTCTTCCAGTCTCAGCTTCTTGAAATAACCATAATTGGTAAGAACCACATTGAAGCAATACATCTCCTTATAATGCCTTATATAATTACATATTTAAAATTACAAGTATATGACTTCCAAGTGCTATCAATTTGGAATCACAGCAAGGATAAAATTTGATAAGTAGACAAATTCTTGAAATTCTTATTAATTTCCCCAAGGCATACTACTATATTTCTTCAACAAACCTCAGAAAAATGGAAACATAATTCATGCCAGTTTTAGTAGGGTGCTTTTTTTAAAAAAGCAAAATAGATTCAGTTTTCCCTAACATAATAACCCCAGAAACCTTAGTGCTGTCTTAATCTACAATACAATTGCCATGCCAGCTGCAGCTACTGACCATACAAAAGAATTAATTAAAATCTGGTTCTTCATCATAACAAATAAACTAGATTATTGCAGAAAATCACAGGACTCACCACGGAATCAAAAGAAGTTTGGTTTATTTGCGCAAAGGTTCAGAGCACTATATTTGTAGCCACATCAGAACAGCTTCTCATAACAAAACACAAGTTTATATATTCTCATCAGAAACAGCAAAACACGGAAATGTAGCTTGTTAGCATTGATTGGTTACTTGAATCACAACGCCCTTACAGCCCCCCTGTTGCTATGCTAAAGTACCGTAGTTAAAATACCTTGCTAAAGCTAAGTGTCTAAATTTCCTGTAACATACTTGTGGTTAGCTACAAATGAGACATAGTGACATATGTGGTTAGCTGTAGCAGAGCTTCAAACTTAACATGTTTGTGCGACCGACAAATGAACTTGTGGTTTTGACTTCTTCCATTTCCTTTTGTTCTCCTAACTAATACACGCATTTAAGACTTATGTCCTGTTTTATGACTTAAGTCCTGCTTTATATCCTGTAATACACGTATTTAAGTCTCATGTTCCACTTTATCTCTTATCATGTCTTGTTTCATGACGTATGTCCTGCCTTAAGATCAACCAGCCTTCCTCAACATAGACCACTTCAAAGGATTCAAGTCACATAATGCACATCCAATAGAGCTAATGGCCATATTCAATCTATAGGAACTCCAGCCAAATACATGTGGAAGACTCCAAGGAACTGAAGTCACAATAACTTTTCATTACAAAGGACAAAATGAATGCTTTGAAGCATAGAATAAATTTGTATTGGAGATGTAAAGGGGAAGATAATGGGATCTTTAAAGGTCATTTATACACTTCCTCACAAAATATAGGATCGTATCTTTTACAGTTTTTGATACTTAAAACTTAACTTACATATGTTACATCATTGAATTTTTCAAGCTCTTCGGTATTGTTGTAAGAACATAATTCTGGGAACCACTGAACATGATATCCTTCCCTGCTGATGGCATCTATCAATGAAATAATATAACAGAAAATTAATAGAAGCTTACATTTAAAGTTTTTGATTTTTTGGAATAGTTCATGCAAAGATACACATACAATACTGGACATATTTATCATTTATAGGAAAAATATATAAAATGAATATGGATATACCTTTTAGAATATTGAGAGTCTGAGCAAATTTCAAAGATCTCAAGTTGATCTGGTGTAGCAGTTTTTATGCAGCTGTGTTGCACCATTAAAATATCACACAGGAGAATGGAATTTGCAATTTTAAAAGTCCACAGAAAAGTGTAATTGGAAAGTGCAGAAAAATGGACACAATAATATACTACAGAGTGATTACAAATCTATGGCAGAATGCTACACATTTAGATAATCTAAATATGTAAAAGGAGAGAACAAAAAAGATAAATTAACCATTTTACTAATATTCATCTAATTCTGCAAGTGATTTTACTAATTTGCTTTAAAAAAATCATGAAAGTTCTTTCAATTTTCCTCCTTTCTAGTTTTCCCCCATAACTATGGGAAACACAATCATCCAGATTAATCTGCATTTAGTTGCCAGCCTGACATCTTTGCTTATCTATACTTAATTCATGTTTAGGTTTCAAAGCATCAGGGGCAGCAGCAAACAAGATTTGGAGCAAGGTAAGTCTGGCCTGCTTATACGAATTAAGAAGGCATGATAGTCATGATAGAAAATAATTGATATAAAATACGCTGCATTTAGAATGTAGACTGCCATAGCAATCATATTAAACTAAACATTGATGTTTATAGTAAATGCCTACACTTATTTGCAATTAACTACATTGGCTCTGCTCAAATGCATACAGTGAGTAACCCAAAAGGAGTGCAAGCTAGCAATATCACAGATTTTTTTTATGCAAAAACCTTCAGTAGAACCTTTGTTTGCTTTCCATAAATTTGTTTTATTCTGTCTACTTTTACCAAGCAATCCATTTTAAGTAATTTATCTCACATATTTCAAGATTCTTTTTCTTATCTTACCTAAATGTATTTTGATTTATACTAGGCAAATATTAAAATAAGTTATTCAGATGCCAAGTTCACTGATAGTTAATTATTGTTAATAATAATAATAATAATAATAATAATAATAAAGTTGGAAGGGACCTTGGAGGTCATCTAGTCCAACCCCCTGCTCAGGCAGGAAACCCTATACCATTTCAGACAAATGACTGTCCAGTCTCTTCTTAAAAACTTCCAATGTTCGAGCATTCACCACTTTTCCACTGATTAAAGGCTAACCCAACACAAAAGTCCTTTTTAACAGAAAATTGTGAATGAATTATTATGTCAAGATGTTACATTATTCTTGAAAAAATAATAAAACATCTTAAGCTATGCTGAACTAAAATGTAAGTTTAGAACACAGATCTACTGTAAGTATACATTACTAATACAAATCTTTTCCTGTACAAATAGGATCCTATACAACTGTGCTGGGGCTGTTCTCGTGTGTTATTGCTAATGGTCTCTGCATCAGAGATGACTTATGACTCAGTCTTGCTATTCAATAATCTGTATGCATACAAAGAAAGATAAAGGCCATGATCAAGCTAAAAATGGGGGGGGGGAGTTCTGAGACTATAACTATGCTCTATTTTTCTTCAGATGGTATGTCCAGTACCTAAATGTTGCATTAGGAAACTGATGTTCACATCAACTCTAAGATCCTACATGGCAGCATTTTTTTTCATCTTGACCATCAAAGGCCATGGCTAGACCACTTCTTGAGTCATTTGTACAGCAATATTAGTCTCCCTAGAGAATATTTGTACAGCAATATTAGTCTCCCTTCTACAGGTCACTTAACTACCATTTTCTTTTTAATATAGTTAATTGTTTCCTAGACCCATTAAGATTCTGACTGATCTGCCAAGAGAAGCCTTGTGCCTGAAACAAAGAACAAAAGGCCTCTATAATTGATTAACAAAGATAAACTGATATTATTATTATTATAGTAGTAGTAGTAGTAGTAGTAGTAATAATAATAATAATAATAATAATAATAATAATAATAATAATAATAATAATAATAATAATAATAATAATAAAGGGACCTTGGAGATCATCGAGTCCAACCCCCTGCTCAGGCAGGAAACCCTACACCATTTTGGACAAATGGCTGTCCAGTTTCTTCTTAAAAACTTCCAGTGTTGGAGCATTCACCGCTTCTGGAGGCAGGTTGTTCCATTGGTTAATTGTTCTGTCAGGAAGTTTCTCCTTAGTTCTTGGTTGCTTCTCTCCTTGATTAGTTTCCATCCGTTGCTTCTTGTCCTGCCTTCAGGCGCTTTGGAGAATAGCTTGACTCTCTCTTCTTTGTGGCAACCCCTGAGATATTGGAACACTGCTATCATGTCCCCCCTTGTCCTTCTCTTCATTAAACTAGACATACCCAATTCCAGCAACCGTTCCTTATATGTTTTAGCCTCCAGTCCCCTAATCATCTTTGTTGCTCTTCTCTGTACTCTTTCTAGAGTCTCAGCATCTTTTTTACATCGTGGTGACCAAAACTGGATGCAGTATTCCAAGTGTGGCATTACCAAGGCATTGTAAAGTGGTATTAATACTTCACGTGATTTGATTCTATCCCTCTGTTAATGCAGCCTAGCACTGTGTTGGCTTTTTTGGCAGCTGCAGCACACTGCAGGCTCATATTTAAGTGATTGTCCACTAGGACTCAGAGATCCCTTTCACAGTTACTACTATTGAGCAAGGTATCCCCTATACTATACCTGTGCATTTGGTTTTTCTTGCCTAAATGTAGAACCTTACTTTTTTCACCATTGAATTTCATTTTGTTAGATAGCGCCCAGTGTTCAAGTCTGTCCAGGTCCTCCTGTATCTTAAGCCTGTCTTCTGGAGTGTTGGCTATTCCTGCCAGTTTGGTGTCATCCACAAATTTGATGATTTCCCCATCTATCCCCTCGTCCAAATCGTTGATGAAGATGTTGAAGAGCACTGGGCCTAGAACAGAGCCCTGGGGCACCCCACTATACACTTCCCTCCATGTAGATGCAGTTTCATTGAGGACCACACGCTTGTTTTATCCATAGTCCTATATGTTTATCCAGGTTGATAGCAAGTATTGGAATTGCTTATGCAATTCACAGAAATGAGTGCTCTTGATCAAACATTGAGAAACGGTATCAACACAAGCCCTGCTTTAGTCAGTACATTAGAGTTCAAATGGCATTTTCTCTTCACCACAATCTTAGTAACTCAGGGCACAGGAAGGATACAAGTGGACACAGAAGAGAGCATGGCCAGAAAGTCTTATAAAGAAAGTGGTATCAGTCTAATAAGGAAAATGGTTGATTCCATTCCTATAGCAGGCTTCATTACATGCCTTCCTGTCTTCTCAATGAGCCAGCAACTTCCTTGAATCAGTGGAAATGGTGGTGGTAAGCAAACAGCTTTTTCCTTTCCTTTGATTATATAGCTTTTGATTCTAGTTAATATGCCCACCAATGCCATCTCCATTGCTGCAAGAGAGTTGCTGCCTCCACGGATGTAATAAGGAGGGTGGTATTGCCAACAGTTTTGAAATAAATACCACTGGACAGTCATAGTAGCTCAATCAACTTTAGATTTGCTTTGCTTAATTTAGATCCTTAATCTACTTCTACAATTTTTCCCCCTTTGTATTTATTAGTCAGAACCCCTGAGGAAGCAAAAATCAGAAACATAAAACTGCTATTATTATTAGGGTTGAAAAGTTGAAAAAAAACTTTAACAACAGTATCTAGGTCAAATCAACACTGTAACTGTTGGGTCAGATTGATGATGTATACATATGCAAATTAATACTAAACAGAATGCATATCTGTAAGCAAGATTCTTCTCTCCTCTCCTCCAAATATATGCTTAGGGAAAAGTTGGAAACCTTTGCTTCTACATTAACTTAAATAATAAATAATAGCTCATATTAATTATAATATGTTTAAAAATGCCAACAGTATATCACAAAGCAGTCAGACTTTCTTTATTTGTATATCTAAAATTACCAGGAAGCTATTTGAATCAAAGTTTATTAATAACCAACAAATTATTTAGGAAAGGTAAGAATGGTTTTGTATCTACCTTCTGTTTTCTTCCAGTAGACTTTCACTTGAAGTTGGTCATCTTGGAAAAAAGGTACTCCAATTTCAAGAAGATGATTAAGTCTACTTCCTTTGAAGAATGAAACATCACTAGCTTTACCAATGGTAGATGTCCATTCTTCTGTAAAAGAAAATATTTCTGAAAATTTGCCAGTTGCCAGTTGCATAGTGGCTGTATAAACAAAGTGTTTCAAATGATACTTTAAATGCATCTAATAAGAGATCACTGGATTACAAATAAAAATAATAAAAATACAATAAAAGGAACAATAATTAATATTTATTTATAAAACAGGAGTAAACATAACTTTGCCAATTGTTGGCAGCTAATTCTAAAAGAAAGTTATTAGTTTCAGAATATCTAGACATTTTCAAATTTTCTTGTTTGCTAAAATACAATATGATCAATCCTAGCTGGTAACCTAGCTATTCTTATTTTCAAAGATAGTCCCATATATATGGCATTGTATTCAGGTCAAGAGAAGATTATTACACTATAGATAACTGAGGATGTCCAATGCAGCTGAACCTTCAAGCTGAGCATACATACCATCAGTCTCTGAATAAAACTGTACTATCAGTAACAGCAATGGTTATAGAACATAGTTATGCAAAGAATATTAAATTTTAAATATTTTGAACGATAAGATAAGATAACCTTTATTGTCTTTTTTACTGTGGACACAATGACACACATCAAAAATGAAATTTAGTTGCCCACTCTCAAAGTGAACATACTATATACAACATATGCATACTATATATAACATATGTATAGACCTACATCCCTACATATACATAACATATGAATATTAAACACTGTCCATCTTGAATGCAAGATGGATCCTATCTAATCTTACTGGATATGTTCTGAATATATTCTTCAAAAATCAATACAACCAAACTAATAATTTAATAATAAAACAATAATGTATACTTAATTTTATAATTTATTAATTTATTAATTAATAATTAATTACAAAACAATAATGAATTACAGTACTTCTGAATTCATCATAGTAACTCAACATTTAAAAAAAAACACAAACAAGTTTTTAATAGTGTAGCTATTACTGACAATGCATCCAAAGCCAACCAGATCAAAAGAGTAATAAAGTAGAATGTTTTAACAATAAGAGCCAGCACAAAAATACAAATTGAATAATGTGAAGTAGAATACACTAAAAATGAAGATGAAGTCATATTGTAGCTATTTTTGGAAAAATAGAAAAGAATATTACTGTCCTAAAACAATATTTTTAAACTAAGTTTAGTGATGAAAAGAGAATAATCTATTATTAAACAATGCAGGAAAAATTGCATTGAAATGTTCATGTTATAATATTGAATTAATGCATTAATATTCAAGGAGCCATAACTATTCCTAATTTACCAAACATAGTTCAGATAATGTGTATATCAATTTTTCATAAGCTAATTATTAAAGCAAAGCACAGAAGAGAAGTGCTGCTTTAAAACTGTCAAGCAGTATCAAATATGACCATGGGTTGAAATAGCTGCCATATTAATACCAGGATAAATACTGGATTTTAGCAAATCATGTATAATCATCAATTGTCATATTTTCTCTGATGCTGCTTTTACTCAGCTGTAAAACTAAAATATGAAAATCCATTAACAGGAAGAAAAAATATGAAGAATTCAAAAGAGTTCACAAAAATATACTCTTGTGGGTAAAAATGAAGACCAATAAATTAGCAGATCAACGAAACGCTGTGGACTTAGTATACTTAGACTTTAGTAAGGCATTTGACGAAGTAGACTACAACCTGCTGCTTAGTAAGCTAGAAAAAGGTGGGATAAACAACAACACCATCAGATGGATCTGTAGCTGGCTGACAAACCGTACGCAGCGAGTAGTCCTCAATGGTACTACATCCACATGGAGAGAAGTAAGCAGTGGGGTACCGCAAGGCTCCATCTTAGGCCCAGTACTTTTCAAAATCTTCATAAATGACTTAGATGAGGGAATAGAAGGGGAACTCATCAAATTTACAGATGACACTAAACTGGCAGGAATAGCCAACACCCCAGAAGACAAGCTCAGGATTCAAAAAGTACAATTTGGCGAGACCTGCTCAAAAACAGCAACTGTGAGAAGGACCTCGGAGTCCTAGTGAACAATCACTTGACTATGAGCCAGCAGTGTGCAGCAGCAGCCAAAAAAGCTAATACAATCCTGGGTTGTATAAACAGGCATAGAATCAAGATTATGCGAAGTTTAGTACTGCTTTATAAAACCCTAGTAAGACCACACCTGGAATACTGCAACCAATTTTGGTCACCATAGTACAAAAAAGATGTTGAGACCTTGGAAAAAGTTCAGAGAAGAGCAACTAAGAACAACAAAGGCCTGGAATCTAAAACATATGAAGAACGGCTGCAAGACTTGGGTTTGGCTAGTCTAAAGAAAAGAAGAAACAGGGGCGACATGATAGCAGGGGCTGCCACAAAGAAGAGAGCGTCAAACTATTTTCCAAAGCATCAGGGGGCAAGACAAGAAACAATGGTTGCAAAGTGACCAAAGAAAGAAGCAACCTGGAATTAAGGAGGACGTTCTTAACAGTGAGGACAATTAACCAGTGGAACAGCTTGCCTCCAGAAATCGTGGGCACTCCATCACTAGAGATTTATAAGAAGAGACTAGACAGTCGCTTGTCTGAAATGATATAGGTTCTCCTGCTCGAGCAGGGGGCTGGACTAGAAGACCTCCAAGGTCCCTTCCAGCTTCTATTCTATTCTATTCTATTCTATTCTATTCTATTCTATACAAGTGAAAATAATTCTGCATTTTCTAAAGCAGCTTAAAGAGTGAATCAAAGATTAATTGTGTAACAGGAAAGAAATAGTGCCCTTCAATTGAATGTAATTTGATGAAACTTTCATACATGTAGAAATCAGGGTAATTGGACGTTTATTTATTTATTTATTTATTTATTATTTATATTTTTACCCCGCCCTTCTCCCTGCGGACTCAGGGCGGCTTACAGCCTTTTAAAAACAAATACATAAATACAAAAAATACTAAAGTTAAAATGTTAATTAAGATGAAATATTATTAGGCCTTTGTTATTTTAAAAATTATTATAAAACCCAGCTAAAAAATAACCCTTAGGCCAGTCCTGCCAACTTAAATAACCATGTCTTGAGGGCGCGGCAGAAGAAAGGGAGATCCGGGATCACCCGGATCTCTGGGGGTAGTTCGTTCCATAGGGTGGGAGCTCCAACCGAGAAGGCCCTCCCCCTGGGGATCGCCAGCCGGCACTGTCTGGCTGACGGCACCCTGAGGAGACCCACTCTGTGGGAGCGTATCGGCCGATGAGAGGTAATCTGAGGCAGAAGGCGGTCTCGGAGATAGCCAGGTCCGATGCCATGGAGCACTTTGAAGATGATAATCAACACCTTGAAGCGCACCCGGAAAGCCACTGGCAGCCAGTGCAGCTCGCGCAGCAACGGCGTTACATGGGAGCGACGAGTCCCTCCCAACACCGCCCGCGCGGCTGCATTTTGGACTAACTTGAGCCTCCGAGTGCTCCTCAAGGGGAGCCCCACGTAGAGAGCATTGCAGTAGTCCAGGCGGGAGGTGACAAGAGCATGGGTGACTGTGCACAAGGCGTCCTGGTCCAGAAAAGGCCGCAACTGGTAAATCAGGCGTACCTGGTAAAACGCCCCCCTGGCCACGGCCGTCAACTGGTCTTCCAGTGTCAGCCGTGGATCCAGGAGGACACCCAAATTGCGCACCCTCTCCGAGGGAGCCAAAGTTTCGCCCCCTATAGTCAGCGACGGAGTCAACTGACTATGCCGAGGCGCCGGCAGCCACAGCCACTCGGTCTTGGAAAGGTTGAGCCTGAGTCTGTTTCTCCCCATCCAGACCCTTACGGCCTCCAGGCACCGGGCCATCACGTCAAGGGCAACATTGGGGTGGCCTGGGGTGGAAATGTACAGCTGAGTGTCATCAGCGTACTGATGGAAATCCACCCCAAAGCCACGAATGATCTCACCCAGCGGCTTCACATAAATATTGAACAATAGGGGAGAGAGGACCGACCCTTGTGGCACCCCACAAGTTAGGGGCCTTGGGGTCGACCTCTGTCCCCCTGTCAATACAGACTGCGTACGGTCGGTGAGGAAGGAGGAGAACCACCGCATAACGGTGCCTCCCACTCCCAACTCCACCAGGCGCCGCAGCAAGATACCGTGGTCCACGGTATCAAAAGCCGCTGAGAGGTCCAAAAGAACTAGGACAGAGGAATAGCCCCTGTCCCGGGCCCTCCAGAGATCATTTACCAGTGTGACCAAT